TTTTGCTTTGCATTTAAAAAAATACTCTAACTGCAAAATAGATAGAAATGAAGGTTATACCGCAAATTGAGGTTTAAGCTTTCTATACGTTTTTTTTTATATGAATTATGTAAATTTTAAGTGTTTAAACTTAAAATTGGAGTTTATGGTCTTAAAAATTGAAGAACGCACATTTGATATGTGATTTTCTTGCACAACAGGATGGTTATCTTTATAAGTACCCCAATCTACCTAGGGGTGTAATATTTCCTATGATCGTTTAAAATAAATCTTCTTAAGGCTAAATGTTCAATATATGGCATGATAATCAAACAAATGTATATATGCTTGCAGAATCGCCATAGAAAATGAATGTTTATGGTGAGAAAAGGATTACAATAATCATGCATTAAAAATCAAATCCATCTATCCCTAATTGTAACTATAATACTAAGTATAAATTAGTATAATAGTCTCAGGCCATCGAGAAAATGCAATAATGATTATTTTATTAATAGTTGTATAAATAAACGGTTCTGTTATCTCTCCATTGTGGTATGATTATCGTACATTGACGTTGGTCAGTATATTATTGACAATATATAGGGACGGATTCAGGTTTTTTCAAAGTGGGCGTAATTCAAACAGCTTACATACCGCAGAGCGTAGCGAAGCGAACAATGTTTTGGACGAATTAAGCTAAAAAAAATCGTAAAAAAAAAGATTTAATATATTTTGGGCCATCAAAGGTGGGGATGGGGGCATGTGACCTATACGCCGCCTGGATTCGCCACTGATGTTATATAACGAAATCGTATACCAACTTAAAATTTTATAAGAAATAAGAAAGCAGGGACACCCGCGAAATTGGATGTATGTGAGTAGGATTATCATGTTTATTCTAAAAATTCACATTGGTATTTTGAAATTGTCGGAATGCGAGACCAAGGGATGTAAGTTCGTGGCGGCTTGAACTATTTGTATGAAGCTTCATATGTCAGAAGTTAGAAGGCCTGACTGCAACATACCTCGCACACAGATCTTTTATGTAACGATGTTTCTATCTGTCATATGTCCATTGCCCTTGACCTCATTTTCATGGTTCAGCGAATTCCTAACAAAATGAATAGCTGATAATGGTTGATATCTATGATCAAGGTTAACATTTCGTGTTCAAGTCCGTATCTCTAATACCATAAGTTATAGGTCAACTATATTTGCTCGTATGGCGCATATGACTATTTAAGTGACCTTGAACTTATTTTCTTGATTAATTGGTAAATGTTCAGTTCTTTTTTTTGGTTGGTTTTAATGATTGTAATGTGTTCATGTCCGTCTGGCAGGTTTCATCAGACCTTGACTTTTTTTATGGTTCCATGAACAATGTTAATTTTATGAGATACTTTTTCATTAAATTATTTATCTTACAGACCTTCAAAATAAATTCGATAACGATCATTCCATCAGTCGCGACATGTCAGTGCGTACAATCACTCTTGTATAAATAATACGTAGTATTTATTTTTTGTTAAAGTTGAAGTTGTTTTGCCATGTCTGATTAGTTTATCTCGTTCGTGTAAGCCTTAATTATGAATTGTTAGACTTTTTTTTTAATTCAAGAACGGTGCAATCTTGTTCGGAATTCTTGGTTGGTTTTAGCTCACCTGACCCCAAGGGAAAAGTGAGCTTTTTTCATCACTTGGCCCCCGTCGTCCGTCGTATTCCGTTATTTTTTTACATAATCTTCTCCTCTGAAATTACTGGGCTACAATACATTAAACAAACCTTATCCACAATCTTATGTCGGGTTTAAAAGGTCTAACGAACTTATGTTTAATTGTTTTTCATCATCATTGGGGTATCTAGTTTAAAAGGTTTTTGATGACCCCGCTTGTCAACAAAGATGGCAGACATGGCTTAAAATAGAACATAGGGGGATGCAAGTTTTGTATATTATTTGAAAACAGCTATAGATAGAGAAAATTTAACAGGGACAGATATGTTCATAATGTTGAGCTGTATCTTTTGTCCATACACATCAAAACTCTCACACGAATTCTTATAGAAGTAAATGTCCTTGAATGACAAATTTCTCTTTTTTTTCCATTTTTGTCTATTATCTTGAAATATATAAAAGCCATAGCAAAATGATCAGCAAGACAATATATACGAATAAGTCGACTTGGTCGATATCCTTGTAACAATCAGTGACGTTTAATTACGATTTTTACCATTTCTTTGCGTTTTTTCCAATTATCTTTCAAACATCTTCTCCTCTTTAACAATTTAATCAAACTTGGCCACACGCTTTATTGACGTATCTGGTTTGAAAACCCACATGATCAGCCATTTGTAAGTTTATTTTTTGTTTCAGGGTACCAGTGTTAACGTTGCTTTTCATAAAATAAACAAAACCGGGTTCTATACATAGACAAAACCGGGTCATTGTGTAGTAAACAACATTGACAAAACCGGGTGCTTCCATTTTGACATGACCCATTTCTTTCGTTCCATACGCAGAAATACAAGTATTGAGGTGCTCAAAGTGACTTGTTTTGCAATCTCCATGTCAATATCTTTCTTTCCGTACCTTTCTTTTTGTACCATGTGAACAATTTAAGCAGAAATTAAACAAATTCGAGGCAAGGTTCACTCAATTCGTCATTTTGACGTGCATTTTTACTTATTTCTCCCTTAATCTAGAAAGGTTGTAGAAAATATTACATCTCACAATAGAAAATAGTTATAAATGTATAAATATTCTTCGATATCATAACTATAACAAATAAATAAACAGAAAACTACCTTTTCTCTGTCTATTGATGTTCCGTCACCATGCCGGATATTAGATACCATTGAGTCCAAACATTTTTTGCCGGGGTAGTTTAGACACAGTGTGTATGTCTTAAGAGCTAACAGGATTTCTCTTGATCACTTAATATAATTTTTGAGAATTCACTATGGAATTGGGGATTTGCTTATGGTTGAATGTCGTACTGTAAACGTTTAAAAATATGTTATCAAATAGGAAGTCGCACGCGTCTATCCGTACGCTCAGCCAGTGATATCTGTAATTTGTCGAGCGATTGTATTTTCTGACCAATTTACACTTTCATATTGATTATGACACTTCTTACATGTTCAAAAGAACTCAAATACTTCCAAATGAATTTCAACTATGCAACGGAGATCATATGTTGGCTTACGGTGGTAAATTATTTTTTTAATATGTATGTTGTTATCAACATATGACAAAATGTTTTAATACATGCAAAATTCATATGACAAATACAATGTTTTCGCAACGAATCGTACAGTATAAAAAAGTGTACAGATAACGAAGCGTACACAATTTGAAAATAAAGACATGTAAAAACATGCATTTTTTTTTTCTAGATAACACAAAAACCTACACTCTTTACAAGTTTGATAAATCTTATCTATAACATTATCAAAAATGTATGCTAGAGGTATAGGGGGAGGGTTGAGATCTCAAAAAACATGTTTAACCCCGCCGCATTTTTGCGCCTGTCCCAAGTCACGAGCCTCTGGCCTTTGTTAGTCTTGTATCATTTTTAATTTTAGTTTCTTGTGTATAATTTGGAGTTTAGTATGGTGTCCATTATCACTGAACTAGTATACATATTTGTTTAGGGGCCAGCTGAATGACGCCTCCGGGTGCGGGAGTTTCTCGCTGCATTTAAGACCCATTGGTGGCCTTCGGCTGTTGTCTGCTCTATGGTCGGGTTGTTGTCTCTTTGACACATTCCCCATTTCCATTCTCAATTTTATTTAAGAGATATGAGGCACGGGAAACTTGAAATTTATAACTGTTGAAAATAGTGAGCATGCTTTTATCAGTGACAAGGTCGTGTGTTTTTTTATGTTTGCCTTTAAATTTATAAAATATTTAAAAAACCTTGCAGGAAGAGATGAGTAATACACCATAGAATATATTGACGCAAAATATCAGAAGAATAAATATTGGAATTTCCTTAAAAATGTAAATTTTTCTCTGTCTGAACTCCGTGGCACACGGTGTAATCGATTCGAACGCGTCAACGTCCGGATACATTTGTATCGGGGTTATATGGGGTGCTACGGGTTAGTGTCCGGGTGGAGTTTTATTTTTTAGTCGTTATAACGACTTAGCTAACTTGTTATAACGACTTAGTTAACTCGTTTAGACGACTTAGCTTATCTAATTCGTTAAAATAACTTAGCTAAGTTGTTATAACGAGTTAGCTAAGTCGTTATAACGAGTAAGCTAAGTCATTTTAACAAGTTAGTTAAGTTGTTTAAACGACTTAGCTAAATTGTTTAAACGAGTTATCTAAGTAGTTACAACGAGTTCGATGAGCTAAGTCGTTTAAACGAGTTAGATAAGTCGTTTTAACGAGTTAGCTAAGTCGTTTAAACGAGTTAGCTAAGTTGTTTAAACGAGTTAGCTTAGTCGTTAAAAGAAGTTAGCTAAGTTGTTATAACGAGTTAGATAAGCTAAGTCGTTATAACAAGTTAGCTAAGTCATTATAACGACTTAGAAATAAAACTCCACCATGACACTAACCGGCTTCCGTAGGATGCTGTTTAGAAATAAGAATATAACATCTGACCAGTTGCTGCTACAGTCAACTCGTTTACTCCATTACTGTTTATTTACCTTGTTAAGAAGTTTTTAACATTAGACCTAATAGCGGACGACTTAAACACTTAAGCAAACATTCTAAAATTGATTGTCAGAGTTCTAATACAACATAGATAAATATACACTGAAAAATAAGCAATGTAATTTTAAAATCTTATTTTTGATAATTCAGTTTTGAAGATTTGTATTCAGGAATTTTTAAAACTTCGCTTTATTCGTGGAAAATTACAACGAAATACTACTTTAAAACTACACTTTTCGAATATTTTTACAGAACTTCTCTACTTTATGTAAGGACAAGGGAATGACAAATTCGTGTATATTACAAATGCATGTAATACTCATTTTAGCATATTCACAAATACTTCATATACGTTCCGTCATATACGGATGCGTCCTCGATACGTGAGTTCTGCAACAGCTTTAGTATTAGTGACTGTTTGTGATGCGTACCCTTTATGGTGTCACCCTTCACAAGATCTGAAGAATTTCCATGTTTCATTGATCTTGCATATCAATGTACGCTTGAGAAATCATGGAGTCATATGTGTGGACACTTGAATATTATATGGTCGATCACAAAATCAAATATTTGATTTCAGCTAGAAATTGCCAAAATGGATGCATTGAATGCAATACAAAATGAATACAAGTATGCCATGAGCTTGGGCGGTAAGTCATAATTAGATTAAATCAACTTATAAAAAAAAGAACGTTAAAAGAAACAAGCAAACCATTTTTGAAAATAATTATATAATCCATGTATGTATCTACACCAGATAGCATGCGAAGCGTAACAGTTTATAACTATTTTTTCTCATAAATGTATTTGCTACGGTGCATTTGTTATGTCATATTTTAAATTCCTTTTATGAAATCTATAGAGCAGAGAATTTTGATTTTTGTTTATCAATTGTACATGCAGATTCATTCACTTCTAACCGTATAACGTAGGAGTTCTTCAGAACATATATAGGATATATAGTTCAGTGCCAGCAGAGAAAAGAAGTAAAGTGTTAATCTCTTCCTCACAAATACTTCGAAATGACAAACATTATTCAATTGAATCTCGAGGAAATTGAAGGAACCATATGAAAACAGTTATAAATTTGTAAATGATTGATTTACTTTCAATTTATATATTATTTTTACCGGGCTTCGACTTATGAAGTCATGCAGAGGCGGATTTTTATTTCTTTTCTTTTCTTTTTTTAGTTTTGGGGTGCTGGGCCGCAGCTACATATATGACAAATGCATAAACTTTTTTTCAAATGCCACTCCTAAACTTGACATGGTACCCCATCCTTTTCGAAATCCTTGAACTGCAACTCGAAGTTAATTAAGGAATGTCTGTAATATTTTTTCTGTCTATTCAAAATAACCTAAAAAATATGGTGCACACACCGCGTAGCATGTTATTTAAAGGTGTGCACCACATTTTTGAGGTTATTTCGAATAGACAAAAAAAATATTACAGTCATTCCTTATAATTTAATTCTAAATTCCATTTTTAAGGCGTAAATCATGAAAAAGTTGATGACTTCACGGTCACATGACAATATTATGTATATGAGCTGATAGACAAAAATCTTTCAGCCAATCAAAAGACGTGTTACAGCCAAAATTAAATTATTTACTAAAATTGAGAATGGAAATGGGGAATATTTCAAAGAGACAACAAACCGTCTTAAGAGCAGAAAACAGCCGAAGGCCACCTTCAACACAGCGAGAAAATCGCGCACCTGTAGGCGGGCTTCAGCTGGCTCCTACACAAAAATGTGTACTAGTTCAATGAAAATGGACGTCACACTAAACTCCAAAACATATAAATGAACTAAAATTAAAAAAACATACAAGACTAACAAAGGCCAGAGGCTCCTGACTTGGGACAGGCGCTAAAATGCAGCGGGATAAGACATGTTTTGTGAGATCTCAACTCTTACCCTATACCTCTAGCCAATGTAGAATAAACAAACACACAGCAATACGTACAGTAAAACTCAGTTTAAAAAAAGTCAGAGACCGATGTCAGAATAGGTAACAAAAGAAACTAAGCAAAATGACAATGATACATAAATTAACAAAGGACTACTAGCAGTTACTGACATGCCAGCTCCAGACCTCAATTATTTTAAATCTACGATGCAAAAGACTTCTTTTGACTTCTATGATAAATACTATGTTTGGTCTTTTCTGTTTACTTATTTATGGAGTACCTTGACATCGCATAAATTCACGACAATCGTTTTGTACCAACCAACTGTCCCTAGTTTAGATAAATGCATTTTCCTTCTAAAAAATTTTTAAGAAACTTGTGTTCTTATGGAACCTACACAATTTTACAGTTCGTGACAAATTTTTGTTGACAAAAGCGTTGAAAATTATATATGATTGGAGGGGACCGGAGAATTAAGTGGCTATAACTTTATAAAGATAAGAAGATATGGTATGATTGCCAATGAGACAACTCTCCACCAGAGACCAAATGACGTAGAAGTTAACAACTATAGCTAATCGCACGGCCTTCAACAATGAGCAAAATCCAAACCGCATAGTAAGCTAAAAAAAAGCCCCGAAATGACAAATGTTAAACAATTCAAACAAGAAAACTAATGGCCTGATTCATATAAAAACAATAAACGAAAATCAAATATGATCAACAGCAAAAACGAAAACAGACATAAAAATTTTACAAACAGAAGTTAAAAAAACAAAAACAGAGGTCAAAAACGGAACCAGGTATAAAATTAAAAAAAACAGACGTTAAAATAAAAAACAGACATCAAAAACGAAAGCAGACATGAAATTAAAAACAGAGGTCAAAAACGAAAACAAACGTCAAGAACGAAACCAGACATGATAAATTCCAAAAACAGACGTTAAAATAAAAACAGATTTTTATTAGGGGTTCAAATTAACATTTGGTATTGGAAGGTCCAGGACCTTTGACACTCCAAACTGAAAGGTCCACAACATAAATCCCAGGTCCTACTTTATTTGAAATATTTCATAACTCAGTAATTTAAGATACAAAATTAATGTGTTTTTGGTCTTAGGTTAGCTTGTTTAATTATATTTGAACTGCATGCAATATTTTGTTAAGTTTACAAATATATTGCCAGGCAACCATATAAATGAAGAACTAAACTGTCAGTGTCACTGAGGTATAACATGTATAATAATAAATGATGTAATTGTCTTACAAGTATATTATGAATTCAAATAATCTTTTTTTTTTGGTATTGGGGAGGGTGTCACTGTGGGTGGGTGTGTTGTCTCAATTATTGGTAATTATACCACTATCTCAGGGCTTACACTACTTCAGAATCATAGGGAGAAGTGACTTCTCTTTTTTTAAACTGATAGGGAGAAGTGGTGAGATTTGAAAGAGAAGTCAGGCTCACTCAAGGCGCTACAATGTTTGATTTTTACTATAATATAAAGGGCTATATGTATCTTTTTTTATATTGTTCAATTCATAACCGAGTATACAATTAAAGTAACAGTTCAAATTCATAGCTGTTTAAGTTCATCATATGTTGCACAATTATATTAGTTCCTCTCTTGTTAGAAACTACCAACTAAATATCTAGCACTAATAAAGAAAGAACTTGTTTTACATAAAAAAAAGACAAGAACGTGATGAATGCTTAATTTTTCCCTTTGGGATCAATATTCTTCATTCATGGGTCCGTAGTCATTATCCATAGAATCCGGATTTCATTCATAGCTAGTCCGTTTCCCGACTCCGATCAGTAGTTTGTACAAATATTTCAATGGCGGACGAGAAAATTTACAAAAATAAATGATGTTTGAAATGCTATTTGTAAGGGAATATGACGTTTTTAATGCAATGAATGGATTACAAATTTACTTAAGGCAACTTTCATCACTTCTAATGGGTTAACAAACTTATTTTGCCGACAGTTAAAATGGTTTGAAGTACGCTCTCGAGGGGTATAACGGCATGTCAATAGTAAATTATATGGCTTTGAAATGACGATACTGATGGTTAAAAAGGTCGGCAAAGTCAAATTTTATTTTCTTTCAAATCGAAGGTCCGTCGGGCGTAGCTAGTAACCAAAATGAAAATGCAATAGTGGAAGGTCACGGACCTCGGACCACCGCTAATTTGAACGATATAAAAACGAAAACATACATAAAATTAAAAAACAGACGTTAAAATTTGAAAATAGAGGTTAAAAAACGAATACAGACATACAATTAAGAAAGACAGACAATAGAGGTCTAATACGAAAACAGACATAAAATAAAAAAATACAGACATCAATAATTAAAAACAGAGGTCAAAAACGAAAACAGACAAAATACAAGAACATGACAACTTGGACAAATCTTAATACATATTGGACCAATCTTGAAGACAACTCGGGCCACCATTAAAGACAACTCAGACCAGTTTAAAGACAACTCGGACCAATTTAAAGACAACTCGGACCAATTTAAAGACAACTCGGACCAGTTTGAAACACTTGCCAGACCAGTGGCTTTTACGTTTAATATGCTTTTTGTTTGTTTTTGTCTAGATTTGACTATAATTGCTGTATACATTTACATGTATATACATTTGAAATTAAATCGAACATTTCAAAGTATAGACTCACAAGAATTTCGTTTGAATATTCTTAAAACGCTTAGGTTATCTTTTAAAGTACATGGATGATTATGTACCCAATTTTAGATTTAATGCATGTTTTTAAACGATGCATTTTAAAATCCTCTTTGCTTGTATAGATAGTTGAATGAGCACGGATATCAATTGGATCTTAATCAAACACATGACACATCATTTCTAACGTGGTAATTTTTTGTATTTTATCAGGAATAAATTATAAGCTGATACATACTAGATGTATATTAAAAATCTCTGTTGATCAGCATGTAATGTGAGAATTAAATGAAAACATTGTCTTAATACTTTCCGTTTCACTTTGTCAATAAGACAGATGAAATGAACAAAAAAATTATCAAATATGACTATTTTGCAATTACAGAGGCAACTATTTTAATTGCTCTTATCAAACTTTATCCACTTTCAGTTACCGACTGTACTCTTACAGCAAAGTTAAATCATGTACCTATTATTTCTTTCCTTATAAAGTAGTTTATTAGCGTATTTTCACGGGCATTTCGTCATGCGACTACTGGTCGTCGATGAATCAATTCAAAATTCAAAATCACATTTACAAAAACACTTCATGTATAATAATACATGAATAATACATGAACGCGAAGTTCTAGAATTTTATTATATATATAGTATACAAACTAAATTTGATCTTGTTTTCTTATAAATTTGACCGTTAGTTTTCTCTTTTGAATTGTTTCATATTTTTCATGTTGGGGCCCTTTATAGCCGACTACGGTATGGGCTTTTCTCATTATTGAAGGCCGTACGGTTGCCTACAATTGCTTACTTCCACTTCATTTGAACTTGTGGATAGTTGTCTCATTGGTACATGCCATCTCCTTATTTTTATATTAAACAAATTATCAACTCCGATTTTAAATCCTTTTCATATATAATTTCAATGTCATTATTATGCAAAAAATAAAATATTCGTTAATAATAAGAATGGTAATAATTATTATTTTCATAATTATTATTTCAATAGTTATTTTTATCATTTTTAATCATTATTTTGAATTAA